GTCCAGTACTAGTTACAGCCAAGGTGGGGAAAACTTCTTATAAGATTGATCCACCCAAATGGATACACGTACACCTCATGTTTCACGTTAGCAACTTGAAGCCATTTCATGTAGTTCTAGTAGATGTAAGCAAGAGTCGAGCCACAAAAGCCACCATCAGCACCAAGCCACCATCACAGCTCTCAGTGGAGGAGATTTTGACAAGGAGGATGACAATGATCAATCGACAACTAGACCTGTCAATATGGGCCGGCCCGGCCCACCCGGCCCTAGCCCTTGTGGGCTGAAAAAATATGGGCAAGGCCGGGCCGCCCATATTTTATATGGGCTACAAAATGTTCAGCCCAGCCCACCCCTTGCTAGCCCATGGGCCGGGCCGGGCTAGCCATTTTTTCAAAAAAAATTATTTCTACTACTCATCAATACAAGTATTACAACTATACTATGATTTAGTCCATAAATTAAATAATAAAAAACATATTACAAACAAATAAATTACATCAAAAATAAATAAGCAAATACATTACATCAAATAAAATAAAAATTTTAAATTTTTAATATTAGCCCACCCCTTGTTAGCCTATGGGTTGGGTTGGGCCAGCCCATTTTTATTTTTTTCAAAAAAAAATTAATTTTTATAATTTTACTGATAAATTTTTTATTAATAAAATTGTTCTATGATTTAATCATAAATTGAATAATAAAAACATGTTACAAATAAATAAATTACACCAAATATAAAAAAATAAATAAATTACATAATAAAGTTTAAATCTTTAACACAAACTACTATCTTATAACATAAGTATATAACCAAATAATAAAAATTTCAAGACCATTTATATCTTCCTCAATCTTCATTCTCAAGTAAAACATTTAAATCTTATTTAGACAGCAATGATGTCTCAAAGTCTGAATTATTATCAATTTATCATCTAACATTCATTACCATAAAAGAAAAAGAGATAATAAGTTTTAATTTAAATTAAAATTTTTAATTTGACAAGTGAAGATTAAAGACATTGAAATATATAAAATAAACAATACTATTGGTAACTAAATTATTGATTTTTCATAATTAAATATATAAAATTATTAAATTAATTAAATATTTTTTTGGCCCATGGGCTGGCCCTGCCCCAGCCCTAGACCTGTCAATATGGGCCGGCCCGTACCAACACTTAATTTTTTTTGGACCGCCGGGCTGGCCCGTACCAACCCGGGTCAGCCCGGTTTTGATATGGGCTTAAATTTTTAAGCCCGGCCCGTCTCATATTTTTAAAAAAATGGGTTGGCCCAATGGGCCAAGCCCATTTTGACAGGTCTATCGACAATTGACACAAGAGTACTTGGTGAGATGGGAAGTTTTGGGATCAAATGAGATCACTTGGGAGAAAGAAGCTAACCTCCACACCTTTTAACAGAGATTGAAGAATTTCAAGCTAACTAGCCAACGAGGACGTTGATAGATTGAGTAGGGAAGAATGTCATGAGCCAACCTTATATTGGACTATGACAAGATAAAGTTGTCAAGAGCTTAAGTCTTTTGTACTTGTAAAGGAAATGTCTTTTTTGCAAACATTGTAATGACTCATAGTGACATCTTTGGAAATACTTGTTAAGTCTTTAAGGGGAAAGACCTTTTGGGAAAAGAATGTCCTCATTTTAAGCATTGTAATGGCTATTGGTAAACTACTTATAAAATCTTGTAAACTCTTTATAAGGGGTGAGCAGTTGGAGGATTGTTAGGCTGGCTCACTAGTAAAGGTACGTATGTAATGAACCATCTTGGGCTGCCTCTATGGCCTGACAATGGCGTGTCTTGGTCCTTTTGTACTCATTTTCATATTAATAAAATATTTTTCATTATATGGCTCCAGTGGTTGTGTGTATGGCATTCAGTATGCCCTATTATTTCGATATGAATTGCCCTAATCTAATTTATGGTATTGTTGATATTTGTTCAAATCTAAATGAGTTGTTGGTTGGCTTACGAGGAAGCGTCCACTTAAGCGTTACATGGACTATCGCATACTTAAGCGAAGGAGCATGGTTTGTGACACTATGTCATATAAACTTGTGTAAGGGTTGTTATGTATGAACCAACCTTGCATGCCCAATGCATGACCTTATGAATATCGTATGAAGTATGTGCCAAGGATGATGTTATATATATTTAAACATAAATTTTATTTATGAATATTTGGATATGGAATCCTTTAGCTATGTCTGTTTGGTTTTGAACTTTGAGGCTTGCATGAGTCTCACGAGCTTCGCTTGTTGGGCTCGTGCCCCTGTCACTAACCCTCGAGTTTGGGTCATGACATAAAGATTGTTGATATGTGTGAGACTTGGGAACGCTTGTGAATTTGGTGGTTTTTGAGTAAAGCAATGTCTTAAAATTTGGACAACTTTGTGACTTAATGTCATGGTTTGGATATTATAATTTGATAAAAGTATGGGACTGTTTGGCGTGAGTGAATGGTTTTGGACAACCAAATTAATTCGGAAGTAATTGTTGTTGGAAATTAATCAATGAAAGAATTTTAAGATGGCATCTTAGTATGATTCGAATTGATTTGAAGCACTTAGATATCCCGAAATCCAAGTTTGGTGCTTGTTGGGGTTTTTGTTTTTTTGTATTTCTTTATGCTGTTGTAAACAATAAGGCCAAAGTTAATTTATTTTGGCCAAAGTTAATTTATTTTGGCTAAAGTTGCATACTTTTTTTTAAAAAAAAGTTTTTCAACTATTAATTTTTACTATAATTATTTTTTTTGAAGAGTACACTATAATTAATTTTATTCCTACTATTATTCATTCATAAATTAAAATTTATAAATCATCAAATACTTAAAACTTGAGAATTTGAATTAAAATATTTAATTTTCAAAAAAATTATGTTAATTAGACTTAATTGACTTATAACATTAAATTTTATATATTTATGTTAATATTTTGACAATATTTGTTTCACTTTTATAATTTTTTACTTTAATTTTTATTGTTTTAAGGTAAGGTTTTTAAATGTCTAATTTAAATTTAATTTGTTTTATTTTTATTATTATGCATTTATAATAATGAAAGTAATGGCAATCCTATTTATAAGATGAAATTTTTAAAAGTCACACATTTATAAGGTGAAATAAACATTGTCAAAATAATGTGTGAGATTTGATATAACAAATTAATTATGTCAAATAAACATATTTTATTTAAAAATTAAAAATTTAAAATTTTATTATCGAGTTTTAAGTATTTAACAGATTACAAATTTTAATTTATAAATGAATAATAGTAAAGACAAAAATAATTATAGTGAAAATTAGTAGTTGAAAAACTTTAACGTAAAGCAATAAGAATTAATGTAAAAAATTATAAAAGTGAAATAAATATTGTTAAAATATTGACAAAAATATGTGAAATTTAATGTAATAAATCAATTAAGTCAAAGAAATAAATTTTTAAAAAAATTAAACATTTAAATCTTATTATTAAGTTTAAAGTATTTAATGGTTTACAAATTTTAATTTATAAATGAATAATAGTAAGGATCAAAATAATTATAGTGAAAATTTAGTAGTTGAAAAACTTTGACGTATAACTGTAAAACTTAATGTAAAAAATTATAATAGTAGAACAAGTATTATCAAAATATTGATATAAATATGTGAAATTTAACATAACATGTCAACGAAGTTAAAATAAATATAACATTTATGAAAATTAAAAATTTAAATGTATATTTTTGAACTAAAAGTATTTAACGATTTATATATTTTAATTTATAAATGAATAATAATAAAGATAAAAATAATTATAGTGAAAATAATTATTTATTAAACTAAATTTTTATTATAATATTTATTTAAAAAATTTTCAATAATTAATATTTTATACTTGAGAATATAAATTTCAATGATTAATTTTCATAAAAATTTTGTTATTCTCTTTGTTAGTTGTTTCCCTTTAATTGATAATTTTTATTTTTGCTTATCAAGAGTTATTTAAGTTTCTTTCAACGTATTTGATAAGTAAGCAGGTTGTAAGTTGTTTATTGAGCAATGGCTAAAATAAAATCTCTAAATTCTATTGGCTATAATTGATAGCCTTAAGATAGCATTTGGTATGAAGAAAGTGAGAGCACATCCCCTGTAATGTACTCAATTAAATTACATTGTAGTATTTGTTTTGCAACAAACCATTACAATATAAGATTACAATGCAATCACGTTACAATCAAGGGATATAATGTGATTGTAGTTCAAAACTAATGCAATCATATTACATTGCACTCTGTAATGTTTTTAAAGATATTTTTATCCTTCAACTTTATTATCTTATTAAAAATATTTTATAATATTATAATTAAAATAAAAATATTAAAATAAAATTATTAATATAAGAATTAAAAAATAAAATTAAAATAAAATATAAAAATTAAAATTTAATAATATAGTAAAATAAATTAAAATAAAATATATAATATAAAAAATTATATTAAAGAAATGAAATAAATATATAAGATTATAATAATAAGAAAATAAAATATATAACATTAAAAATATATTTAATAGATGAATTTTATAAAAAATAATAATAAAAATATAAATATATTAAATTTGTTTTAATAACTATGAGTAATTTTGAAAATTAACATTATATTTCAATAAATACTTGTAAACGAAACCTTATGTTATTTTTCTATATTTTAATTATTTTACTTGTATACTAAACACTGTAATTTATTTTTCTACAATAACACTTGTAATCACATTATCTATAACCATATTACATTATAAAATAAAAATATCACTTACTAGTAAAACTAGCTTGGTGTAGAATTTCCCATATAAAGCCCTATGCATGGGGTGGGCTGGGCTGGGCTGCGGTTCCGGAAATGTTAACATAATGCCGGCCCACAGACACCGGGCAAATGATGTCTGTACTTTATCTTCAGCTTTTGGGGTAAAGCATATATTTGCTAGCTAGCCTTTATCTAATTCCCCAGAAGAAGATACGGAGAGAAAGGAGCGAAGGGGAGGGATGAGAGGGTGGTGTGCGGTTAGCTCCTCGGGTTCTCTCAGTTTGAATTTCGGCCTATACCCATCGTCAAAGGCAGCAAACGGTGCTTGTGGGTGTTGTTTCCATCATGGTTTTCCAAGAAAAGCAGTAGTAATAAAATCCAATAATAATACAAGAAAAGTTCATCGTGCTATCTCAATCAGTTGCTGTGCATCTGCATCCAACAGCAACGATAAAATCTGTCAAGCTGAGATTAACAATTTCGTGGTGGTCAATTTTTATCGCTTTGTCTTCATCAAAGACCCTCAACACGAAGTTGCTAAGCACCTCACCTTCTTAAAGGTTTCTCTTGTCTTGTCTTGGGTGTCTTTTAGTTACTATTTTCTTGTGCTCTACCAAGCATTTTTGATCCCATTTTCCAGGGTTTGAACATACACGGCCGAATCTATATAAATGAACAAGGGATTAATGCACAGGTATCTTCACTTGCTCTATTGTTTTTATTAATTAATATTTGACATTTCAATGAACAGTCAGATGCTTTTGAAGGGGACTTAAATGCTGTCATTTGGCTAAACTCCTACTTTCATATGTTACCACTTCATAATCTGGCGGTTTCTAAGCTAAGCAAAAGAATTTTTTGTTTCTTTCTTTCTGCAGAAGCAAATGAAAGATTAAAAAGGGATATGTAAGAAAGAGTAGGTTGTAAATGGTAGTTCTTGCTTGGTTTTTGATTTTGTAGAGTTGTTTTCAAATATAAAAGACAAAATTTAAGTAATATAAACCTTCTCATACGCTTTAACTATGCATTGACTTGCTGTTTTTTTTTTCTCCCTGTCTTCATTCGTTCATGTCTTGGTGCTTAGCTGTAAGCAGTTTATTGATTATTTATGGAAGATAGTTGAGTTTGCTCTTTTATGTCCTTTTTTATCCTTCCCTTCTTTTTCTTCAATTGCTCCTTTCTTTTAAATAGTTAAGCTTTCAAATAGTATGTTGTTTTGAAAAAGCTAGGGCAGAGTAGTTCTTCAATGCAATTAAGTTATTGATGACCATGCTCTGAAGTTGCAGGGCTTGGTTTACACTTAATATGGCCTACTAGATTCATTAGGCTTTGTCTGATCGATGCTTTTACTATTTGCTTTTGTTTTCTTTTCAATTTTTTCTTTTTTTTTTTTTTGCAAAAATGTAAAAAGCAAATAGCAAAAGTAGCCATAAACAAAGCCTTAGTTTAATTGTATATAATTTTGTCCTTGTCTATCTACTAATAATTCCTTTTGTGTGCCATTTCTTTTTGCAGTACAGTGGGCCATCAGAAGATGCTTTTGCATATGTTAAATGGTTAAAAGAAGATGAAAAATTTTCTGATATACTTGTTCAGACATCTCCTGCATTGAACGGGCATGCCTTTCCAAAGCTGAAGCTGCGATATAAGCCCTCACTTTTACAAGTAAGCAATATATTTATCTGTGAGTCTGTCTATGTATATTTATTGTTTATTCTTTTTTAATTAATGTATTCCATTTCCTTGATGTTTCTTGGTCTTCGTCATAATTGTGTTAGTACTTCCTTTATTTGCTAATGCAGCGCACAGCATTTGCCTTAGTTAATTATTGTTATAATGCATGCCTTTATGTCTTCATAGATTTTTGTTGTATAATTTTCTTTCTCGAGATTACAATATTGTTTGTAGGTTTTCTTAAAACATTTCAATTTCTAGTTTCATTTTTAATCCAACACTGGCATAAAAAAGTATCAAAAAGAAAGAAAAGAAATGGAAAATACAGAGATGGAAGAGAAATTTAGTGAAGAATTAGCGCAAGAACTCAAGTGTTTGGAAAATACAGATAGAGTGCTCTCCAGGGGACTTCCCAATGGTTTAATCTTGGGATTCTTAACTCGAAGGTCTCAAGTTCAAACTACTATGAAAGGAGAGGCAAGGTTTATGTATTAGGTGAAGACTATTCTCTTTATATAGCCCAAGACATAATAGGTCATCTTATGCACCAAATATGACAAAGGAAGCTCAAAACAAATACCGAGTTTGTATCTAATTTTCAATAACCAAAGAAACCTATAATGGTTTCTTTATGAGTTCATCGGAAACCATGATTTAACACTATGCAAATCAAAGTGGAAAATGAAGTATGAGTTTCTAGACTTTTGACCAAAATAGGCATGCTAAAAATTCTTGGTTGGTGGTCATCCAGTATATTCTCCTTTGATAAGAAGTCTATCCTTATTAGACACTCAAAATGATTTATATTTGATGCATGAAACTTGTTGCTGGAAACTGAAGAAGATCAAAAGAGGGTTATCCTTTGCTTTGAACATGATGGTGCTAGTAACAACCCAATTGTTTAGAACAATTTCAATCTCTTGTTACATGGAAATTTTCGCATCTTATGAGTAGAGGTGTGCACGGGTACTAAAAAGAAACAAAAAAGGTAAAAAAAAAATCCCTATAAGGCAATAAATCCTCCAGAATGAAAAGAAGACAAAAACTCTAGTGAATGAGTTAAACGAAGTAAACATGTATTACATTCATATATTCAGTTGAATGAAAATGATCATTTGGCAAAATCATGCAAATTCTTGATAGCATTTCTTTCTCTCCTGATGATATCATGTTTAAGTGACAGGACAAAGTATTACACCCTCACAGCATTGAAATCCTAACCCAAGAAGCACCAATTCTTTTCAAAATTCAAGAAATAGCAAACTTTCATGTAACCTTAGGATGCAAATTATAAAGATGTTAGGTTAAGGATTCCATAGACTTAAAAATCTGAAAATTAGGTGGAAGAGAACATGATGATGAACAAAGTTATTTTAAGTTAATAAGGGGGCAATCCATGGTTAGAGCTTGGAACTTTCAACTTGGAGGTCTTGGGTTCAAATTGTGGGGAGGGGAGGTTGGTTTTAAGAAATGGGAGAGAGCTATCTCTTTTTGTATACTCCAAGCTTGATGGGCTTCTATACGGTACCGTATAGTAGACAACAAATCCCAGTTACCTTGTTTCTTTCATAACATAGCTGAAGCATTCAACTTAGCAATGTTAAATTACCACAATTTGTGGATGGAAAACAGTAGAAAATAGCAAATTATAGAGAAACAAAAACCCCACAATTTTCAAATAGTTCTCAAATAATAACTAACATAATGTACCTCTCAAACTCATTAGAACTAGGCAATTCTTGCAGTATTGGCTTGCATTAGATGAATCTCAGGTTTGAGTGTATGGTTTGAAATATGCCATCATAGAGGGCCTATTTGCCATGAAAAGATAGATTATGCATTTTAGTAGTTCTAGGCAATCCCAATATAATGTGTATGCTTAAATATTAACAAGGATCATGTTGCAAAGCAAGGTATAGATGTTAGTGTTTGTTTCTTAACTTTGGTTTGCCAACAAGTATAACAGCGAAAGATTATCCTAGCTAATGCCATACTTTGAAGTACATTAATAAAACTTTTCCACTATTGATGCTTTGATCTTCTCTCTAGCAAAATGATTAGCAAGCTTGCCTGCCTGCATTCTTAAACTAAGAACTTCCCAAGTCAAGTCTGAAATCCTAATCTAAGATTGCAAATCAGAAATATGTTGGGTAAAGGATTCAACAAACCTAATAACTTGAAATTAGGTGGAAGAGAACACTATGAAGAAGTACAAAATTCAGAGCTATAAACCGCACGACTGATCTCTCCCATATGTTAATGAACAACTTTATTTTAAGTAAATAACGGGACACTCCAATGGTTAGAGCTGGGAACTTTCAACTCAGATCTTGGGTTAATATTGGGGAGTGGATGTTGGGTTTATGGAATGGGGGAGAGCAATCTCCCTTTGTATTGATAAAGCTTGAAGGGCTTCCAAATGTATCCAAAAGATAAGATAGTAGAGAACCAAATCCTAGTTACCTTGTTCCCCTCACAACATAACTCAACTATTCAACTTAATAATGTTTGATTAACCTCATTTCTCCATCAAGTTGTGGATGAAAGAGAGTAGAGAATAGCAAATTATGGAGAGAAAAATCCCCACAATTTTTGAATAGTACTCCAAAATCAAGAATGAGATGCAAGTGACTTTGTTTGTGATGTTTGTGTTGCAAAAAAGAATGTGATTGACGGTGCTATTCATGGGATAGATAGAAAGTTCTTTTACTCCAACAGTTAAAAAAGTCAATCTTGAGTTCTCTTTGACAAGGGGAAAATGATGTTGGATGGAGGGAAGTTGCCTGAGGGACTGAACTATTTAAGATTTTCCTTGCAGAGTTATATTTTATGTGCTTAATTGTAAGTTTTATAAATATTTATTATGTTTTAGATTATTTAGGCTATTGTTACATTAATTCAGTTCTCTAGAATTATTTGGATTTGGGGATTTTGACAATTGAGTAATTGGAATTGGCTTCCATCTTGTTGGTTCTATCTCTTCCTTAGGTTTTCTTTATGCTCCCTAATTTCATTTTCTTCACCTTTCCCACTAATTTCAGTTTCAGTCTGGAAGTTTATGAGGGAAATATAGTAGTAATAATGATGGTGCTTGCTATGGATAATTCTTAGATCCGTTCTGCCAGAAAAGATCCATTTGACTGTATTTGGCTTTAAACTACATTTACCAATTGATTTTCCTTTTCCATTTGATACTTATCCTTCTGATCTTGCAGAATCTTTGCCCTACATGTTACTGATGTTATTGTATGGTTTAATGGAAAATTGTTGAGTAATGCAGATTATAAACTTGCTACTGATGTGCATCATAGGATGAGGAACGTAGTATTATTGATAGAGTCATGTATTATAAGATTTGAGAGACTTTTTAGCATATTTTTAATAATTTTTAGTCAAAATTAATTAAAATTGTCTGTAATAAATATACATTTATATATATAATATCTTTTTATTGGCATCAGTTATTGTATCCTCATTCTTTTTTTAAAATTGTTGAATCACCTTATACATGTCCTGTCTTACCTGTATCCATGCTTCTAGATGTGCCCTTGCACTATGGATGATTAGGATCGAATGATTGTAGAATTGTCATAAAAAATAATTATAAGTGATTTGAGCTCCCAGTTTTTGATTTGTTTATCTGATGGATTAAACAGTGTAGTATTAAATGGTATTTTAAAATAATATTATTCTTTGAATTTGCTTAGTGAGTAATTCTTCATCCTTTTGTAAGTACTTTTGTATGTATCTCTCCCCTTGAATTTTTCTGCATCAATGAAGGATCATCCTGATTACAATTTTTTTTTTGAAGTTTGAAGGGGGAGTTTCTCACCTGCCTTTGCTTGATCCATCAATGCGAGCTACACCTCTAGCACCATCTGAATGGAGAGAAAAATTGGAAGCAGTAGATAACAATGACAAGGCGTCAAATTCAAATCCTAGTGCAGACTATATTCTGTTGGACATGAGAAACGGTATTTGGAAATCTCTTGATCTGGACTCTGATAGATGGAATTTAGACATCTCATGGATATTTTTTGTTGTTGCACTTATTGTTGTTTTAGCGGTTCTGTGTGGCTTTGTTAATTGGCAAAGTTGGTGGCATACGTCGTAATTTTTAAACAAAAATCTAGGTGACCGCTCAAATCCCATTATGTGCACAATTGTTCTTGAAGATGAATATGGAACTTGTTTATTCATCAACTAAGTTATAGGTAGAATGCCATTTAACTGTCAAACATTTTGCATTATTGCATAAATGAATAGAAAAGCTGATGGATGTCTGTCTTTCAAGTAATGCATGCAAAAAGGATTCCAGAAAAGAAATTGGATACAGTTGTTGACAATATTCTGCTGTGCATTTGGCTTTTCTCGTTTCTATGCTACCTTTCACCTGACTGTCTGACATTGGATTGACTTTGTGCCTGATATAATGGGTATCTGCAACTCTGCAACACATGATAATGTAATATTGTAAGAATCGATGTAATTTCCAAAAATATCATAATTTTAATGATACACAAATAAATGATGGCTTGGCTGGAAAGAGTTTTTGATGAGGCAGAGGAGACTAGATTTTGCTGAGAATTAGATGATGATACAGAACAAGTTCAGACATCATTCTGACATCTTGCTGTGAATTTTGCAATTGTGTTGAAAGGGGTTATGTATCAAGGTCTTAACGAGACACTGATTTCAGAAAGGAAGTGAAATGCTTCTTTAATTGCCGTGATACCTTAGAAAATAGGTGCTTCACCTGGAGCAAGATAGAGATGAGAAAAAATCACAAGCCAGAGTTAAGGTTGACTTAATGAGAATTTAGTGGGATAGCAATAGACATTAATCAGAGCTGAAAGGCTGGTCTTCTAATTTTTAGTGTTAGGAAATGGAGGGAACAAGTTCTGCAGTATAGGTGCTTGAAAGCTGAAAAATCTCAATTAGAGTGCTTTAAATAACACAAAACTTTGATACATGAATCCTCCTAGACCTTTAAATAAGCCTTATCCATGTCATTCTAAAAAACCCGCTAATGCAAACCTGCTATGGTAACATGAGCAGCAGAGTAAAAATTGTCTTGCTACAGTCGTGCAAACTGTGACCGCATTTGTTTAATTCATGCTGCTATATAATTAGGCTTGCTAATGTAGTTGCTAGCAACCTCTTGGAAGAAGCATTGCCACATAAGTTAGTGAAGGTAAAAGGGACAGTGTGCATGGATTTTCAAATATTTGCAGGTAGATGGATTCTAGGTTTGATTTAGGTCATGAAATGCCAGGCCTTGAGAAGGGATCCTAGGGATAACATTTAAATTGGTCTGGATTGGGTGATGACAAGGCTTTCTAATGGACTTTTCCTGGCTAATTGATTTGGGCCTGTGTTCAGTAACTGTCTTTCCATGCATTTTACATGTGCAAACTTGTGCGTGACCTTATTAGTTATGGATAGGTAGAGCATGTTGTTTTTATTGGCATCTCCTTTGTAGAATCCTCCTTTTATTGGATTCAGTGTCTAATGCAGTTGAATGGGGGGGATAGGTGACTGTTTTTATTGACCAAGTGGATAATGTGTTGGTTGATTAGATCAATGTTTGAGTCTCTCTATTTTGTATAGTTTGACTATTATGCATGAGTTTCAAAAGGTTTTGACTTAAGGGCTTCATCTGGATATCTGTGAGCTTGGGCTGTTAGTGAAAGGAATTCTTCCTAATCTGTGCCATGCCAGAATCACTTTTCTCCTTGCTAGAGAATTGATCATCTTTTTCCCATAGACTGACAGCTCTCAGGGTTTTAAACCTTTTTCTTCCCTTTCTGTTATCATGCAAAGCATGATTTAATGCCCACAAAACCTGGACTGGCTGAAAGTTAGTTATGTATTTTTCCAATTTTTTCTTCTTTTGTGAGGGCCTCTCATCTCTCTTGTTTGTCTTCAAGTATGTCATATACCATAAAATTATTATTTTTAGATTTTGAGTGATTAAGAATTTAGCAACTGCTCTGTATTTGGGCAATGTATGCAAATTTTTATTCTAAAGATAGTTATCGCGCAAATTTTTAGATTGTTTTCCATTTTGCTTCTTAAATGATAACCTTCATTTTTGCATCATTTTTTTGCAAATTATAATTTTTTTCTCAAAGGTTTTCTTTAAAAGCGAATAGACAGAAAGGCTTTACTTGTATTTTAAATGTCTTTTACCTATACCATGCTCCCTTTGCTAGGGGACAGGTGTCAATGTGTGGGTTGGCTTGAGAGGCAGTTATCTATTTCTGCTTCTTCAACGGTGAACAAACTTTTTGCATTTCTTTTTGCAAATTATATTTTTATTATTTCTTTTTTCTGTTTATTTTGGCTTGAGGTGCACTTATTTTTGTTGAACTCAAGGATTTGTAACATCAACAGACCTCATGAAAATGGTTAAAATAAAATCTAGGTGTACTCTAGTATTAAGAATTCATTCAAATAGTGTTAAATTGAGATCAACTGCATGGATTGTTTAATTTCTGTTTGCATTATCAACTACATGGATTTTTTAATTTCTGTTTGCATAATGAAAGACCTTGCTTTGTATAAGTAGTTATGGATTGTTTAATTTTGTATGCCTTTTTTTTTTTTCTTGATTTTCTCCTCCTTTTTCCCTTTTGGAAAAACCTACTCTTTGGTAAAGATCCATCCTTTGACCAATTTTATGTGCTTCTGAAAAAGCAGTATGCTCTTAGTTTTAGCATAGACAGGTATTAGATAATTTCTCTAGTTAGGATGAGTGGCCAATCAATTTTACCATAGATGAACTGGTTTCCTCTTTGATCTATTTATTTGGAAGCTCAACTTCTTCGCAAATGTTCATTAGTCAACTCACTGGAGCAAAATGTTTATTTTAATCCCTGTACTCCAATTTTGGTTAATTTGATCCGTGTACTTTCAAATGTGTTTAATCAAGGACAATTGATAACACCGTTAAAGGAATCCTTTAATTCTGAAGACAAGGCAATGACAAAGTGCTGACATGCCAATAATGTGGCTTTTTAAAATATTAATTTTGCTGATGTTGAATTTTTGAAAGGGAGTTAATCAGGTAGATGTCATGTCAAAAAAACACCTGATTGAAATTTGCCACGAGTCTACAAAGAATACCATGTCAATTTTCTTTTTATTTTAAATTTTTCTAAGGTTTTTTAATTTTTGAATTAAAAGATTCCAAAAAACTAAAGAAAAACAATCGAAGAAACCAGAAAACTAAAAAATTAAAAAGAATTCAAAGAGAGATGGAAAGGGAGGGAAGGAGAGGAAGGGAAGAGTGAGAGAAAGGATGGGGCAGGGGAGGGCTGGCCAGATGGGCAACAGTTGCTGCTCCCCTCCCCTCCCTTTCCCTTCTCGCTTTGTTCCTTCCTCTTTTCCTCTCTCTTCCCATTTATATAAAACTTTTTCTTCATTTTCTTTTTTCTTTTTTTAATTTTACAAAAAGAAAATTAAAAAAAAAACAGAAAAAAATGAATTAGAATTTTTAGGCACATGGATTTTATTTATTTTATTCTACCCTGGGTGCCTCGTGGCACATGACAAAAAAAAGGCTACTTGTCTTTGATTTTTTGTGAATTTTTTAATTTCCAAAGTTTACACGTCAACAAAAACAATGTTTTAAGAACCACGTCATCGACTCGTTAACAAAATTCAACATGTCAGTGCCTTGTTATTGCCACATCATAAGAGTTAATGGATTCTTTTAATGGTGTTATCTATTGTCTTGATTTAAGAGATGTTTGAAATTACTTAGCTCAAATTATCCAAAATTGGAGTAGAGGGACTTAAATAAACATTTTGCTCTAGTGTAGGGACTTATCTGATACTTATACCCTTCATTAATTCCCTGAAGTGAATTCCTCTAGTTATTGTTATAACTAAGAATAATTTTGAATCTTTCCTATATCCTTATTTGTTCCCTATATATTGATCTATGTTTGTACAGAATCTGCAATGGAGAATGTAGTAATCTCTAATGCTAAATAAAATAATAGGATTACAAAAGAAATTGTATCTTTTTAAAAGGCAGATAGTCACTCTTGTAATGAATACCGACTTGCAAACTTACTATAACTCATGGAAATAATGAACTACAAAGTGATCATTATGGGACTGTAATGATTGGTTCAGATATCATTTCGTTGATGAACATTTCTTGTTTTGCAATTAAGGCACTAGATTTTAAAGGTGGAGAAGTGTCCACTTTCAGTTAGGCTCTTAAACAAAGGTTATAGTCATTCATCTTGGGAAGGGTAGCAACTGGAGGAAGTTAATAAGGCTGTAAATGAATTGATCATTTTATTGAGAATGTTAGATGACCCACTCAATTCGTTTTTTGTTTAAGGAGCATCAAGGCCTGGGACAAATTTTGTGGTTATAAATTTGTTGATATAGATGTTAGAAGTGTACTAGTTTGGAATGATTTCTGGTGTATGAAGCTCTATAGTGAGCTTTTTGTTTGATTTTTCCTTATTCCTAGATTAGAAACTGGAGTTTAGAGAGGGACTGTCAAAGTTTTGAATGATCTTCACTTTTCTGCTTGCAGGATGAAGCTTCAGTATGTGGCTGCATGAAAGTCACTCTTGAAAGCAACTTTGATGACCTTGTTACATTTATGGGGTGTGAATGCATGTCATAAAAATGATGTTAGCTCTGCCATAACTAAGGTGTCACAGTCATAGCCTGACTGGCACCCATACATCTCTAAGAGAGTCCTGAATTCAAATTTCTCTTCTTCCAATTAACAGTTGAAAAAAATAAAAGGTTAAATATGTCTCAAGTTGAATTGGAGCCATGATCAAAGTGCAATCAGAAAATGGAGTACAAGTTGAGTTTTTGGATAACTATTAGAAAAGTAATTGTTTATTTTAGAATTCTTATATAATGCTTTATTATTAATCTTTCATAAAAGTTTGAAGACATTGGGATTCCTTGAATTCAGGTTATGAATGGGATGTTGGTCATTTTCAAGGTGCTCAACGACCAGATGTGGACTGCTTTAGGAGAACTTCATTTGGGGTTTCTTCAACTGAGGTAAGCTTGTATGATGTTCCGTTGGTGACTTCAAATTTTGGTTTGAACTTTTAAACATGGGGGCATGTTTAGATCCCTGCTAACCAGACAATTTGTTTAGGTGGTTTTTCTTTAACACTTTTCCATTGGCCTTCGAAATTCATGAATATAACTATCAAACCAACTTAGAAATCCTGTTGTAAAGAGAAAGAATGATTAAGAAAACTTTAGATTGGAAAATTTTGGAAGGTTCAAAATTGGACAAACAGGTCATACTTGGATTTAGGTGATGAATTTATAGAAGTATTCTTCGAAGAAATAAAGTGGTAAGCTTGTTGCAGAGAGTTTACATGATGTGGAGTTAGTAGGCTTTGCCACAGCATCTGTAAGCTTTCCTTTTACTGCACTGATGCATTGCATAAATTAGAAGTTTCAAACCACGGGTGTAGAGAGACAGACTCAAATAGGTACTGGAAGCAGACTGATACTTTGTTTTTTGCCTTGACTTCATCGGGGGTTTCTGGACTCTATGACGCTCTTCATGGTCTGGTGCCCTGCCACTGGATTGTTTATGCCATTGTCATGAAACACTGATAGGATAAGTGATGATAAACAAATAAATTCATTGTGTCTCCTTCATGCCATAGTTTTAATTGATTTTCTCAGGTTGTTTTCTGTAATCTGCAATTCAATAGCTAAAATTTAGATGTTTGTAGTTTATCCTAATTACTGAGAAGTATACTCAGGATGTATTTTCTGGCAATTTTATGCCAAGCAGAAGCTCGTAGGTGTCATTGTTATGAAATTTGCTATATGTTTGGTACCTACCTCTAAGTAAACCAAATAAAAGAAGCCTTATTCCCTAAGACAGTTTTCCTTGCATATATGTTGTATTTGTTATTATATTTATTTATCTACCTTTTTGTTAAAGAGTTGGAAAACAATAAACTGGGAACAAAATTTATGATCGAACGAACATGGAAAGAAAATTTAGTATATCCAGAGTGCAATCTTCAACAGGCTTGATGTTATAAAAAGCTGTCTTCTAGTTGTAAAAAGAAAAGCTGGCTGTATACCTACTTAAGGTTTTGGAAAAGAACAGCTGGCCTCCTTTTGGAAGAGTCTACCTACACCTGAAAGGTACAAGGCATAATTATCTAGTGAATGACTGATTCAGCACATTGTTGTCATATCTTACATCAATGAAGTGTTTTATTGAACAAAATATACATATTTGGGGTTCAACTTCCTGCCATAGTGGCAATGTGATACAGATCATTCCTTTCTTTTCCTTTTTCTTCTTTCTTTTCTAGGCTCTTGTTTCTTTGGTTATGAACGTAGTCCATTATCTCAACTCTGTTTTTTGCAGGGTGTTGCTTCAGATCTCCTATCAAATGTTGATAAAGAAAAAACTAATATAATGATGTATTGTACTGGGGGTATTCGTTGCGATGTATATTCTACAGTCCTAAGGTAACCAGCTGTTCTTTTGCTTTTCTTTCGTTTCTACAACATTTATGTTTGCAATTTGTAAGGCTTTATATGAAAATTTAAAATACATGATTCTGAGAAGGATTTTAAAACAATTAAAAGCTTGAACATGCATATCAAATTACGTATCTTATATTTCAATGATAAAGACAATTTAAAATAAAAATTAAAAAAGTAAAGGAAGGACTTAGGGTTAAGTAGGTATCTCACTTGCATAATATCTTAATGCTAACTAATGCAGTGGATGTGCTTTTAGAATGACTTCTCCAAGATATACAGTCCAACATCACTCCATCATACACTCTAAGAGTCTTCACTACCCAAAGGGTAAGGCCATGTTTTGTTGGGTGGCTAGGAAGCATAGAAACGGACATAGGATCTAGTACAACATGAAACGCACATGATGATATGGAAAATTTTGAAAAACGCACATGCTCGTAGGTCTGTGTGCACACATGCTCTTTTGTGTCTGTGTGTGCACATGTGCTCATGGGTGTGTGCGTACTTAATTAATTGTAACTGGATAGGCATTGAACTATTTTAATATAAGTAAAATCAATTTAAAACGTTTTATATTACACTAATCTTACTTTTATTTGGTAAATAGGCTGCATAGCCTTCAATTTTGGGTTTCAAAGTTTAAATATGTTAAGACCAAATGCTATGGGCCAACAAGCTTCAAAATCTTTTAGACTGAACCCATATCATATGGCCCATGGTACATAAGTTACTTTTTGTTGTTACCCAAAACCTAATTAGTACCATTTTCCTCTTTGAAACCCTAGCCGAATTGTACCCAGAAGCCTTTTTTTACCATTTCCTCCTTTTTTGCTTCGATGAATTACATTAATATTGTGCTAGTAAAATCACAATGGCCTTTGTGATGCTCAGGCCAACCCTCTCTCCGTTTCTATCCATTCCAAAACACCACCTTCTTGACAAGGAAGGTCTAAATAATATTATTTTTTACTTGTTTGCTGTATTTGGTTGCCTCGTATATGTATCTTTTGTATCAGAGATGTGTCCATGTCAAACACGAGCATGATACTGATACACGAGGGGTTGAGGTGTGTCCATGCTCCACAATTGGGTGGCATAGCTAGGCTATTCTTTTGTTCTATCCCATGAAGAATGTCTATTTTGTCATTTGTTTCAACTTTTGGCTTAAAATAATTACTTCACAAAATGATCTATTTGTGATAATCTCAGAAAATCCATTCCAAAACACCATCTTCTTGACAAGGAAGAGCTATTTCGTGTTAACAAGTAATTTACTTCTGCACTAAGTTTAGGATGATTTTGCTTTTCTACATTTTGGTCATTCCTATCTTGTCCTTGTCCTAGGAAAGATAAAGGATCATCGAAAGGTTGCTGATGACCACTTTGAATAATCATATAATGCCATTTCTCTCTAGTTATTGATCTGTCGGGGTGAGAGTTGCTGTTGCACCAGATCAGGTACTAGTGACAGTGTGATTGCACCAATTTGGCAACCTAGCATCTTGATCTTAGTCATTGGCATCAGTGCGTGGTGACCAATCCCTCTCGCTGATTGTGACTGATGGTACTAATGACTAGATTGTTGGAAAGGGTAGAGAGAAGGGAACACACAAAGTTAGAAAGGGGAAAAAAAGGAAAAAAAAAAAGAAGACAAGAAGCAATAGCAAAAAATGAAGAGAAAGAGAAAATAGAGATAATAGGCGAAAGACAATAAAGGCGTGCTTGGTTGGGCCCCTATTCTCGTTCTTGAGATAAAGCTGCATTTGGTTCACTGGAATGGCTATTCTTCGGAATAGTTATTCCAAGGGAAGCCTGAATGGCCATTATCAACGCCCCCGTTAGCAAGGCCCCCCTTGGTAATGGCTATTCTAAATTGTTGGGAATAAGATACTCATGTATTATTCTAACCGCTTGACACCTTTAGTTTCTTGCTTGAGTCAAGTCCCATCAACCAAAGCATGAGATACTCATGTATCGTATTTCCTCTCTATTTTAGTCATATGGAGTAGATATTCTATCCCTACCCTATTCCACAAACTAGACTTGGTTTATAGAGCTCACTAGGACAAAACCCTTTTTGGATTCAATAGTTTATCAAAATACTACTAATGTAAAAGGCTAATTAAATAAATATGGACAAGGGAGGAAGGTGTATATAGGATGTGTAAACAATGGTAGATAGGGCTCATGGTCTTGCACTTTACAACTCATTTAAGTAGAAAATTAAGCAGCATTATTTGGTAGGGTAGTAATCTACTTTCAAGATATAGATTTTTAATGTCTAGTTTCACCTTTTCAAAGTTGAGCCTAAATTACATTAACTATAGCCCACTCTTAAAGTCCAAAGAAAACTTTTTAAAAAATTTCTATTAAAATGCCCTATTATCCAACAAAATAACAATTTGTTAGATCAATGTAGATTTGTTTTGTAGTTTAGCTTTCCGCTTCTCATTTTACTTTTAATGATAAAAATGTTGTATTAGTACTTGAGTACTAGACAACTTAAGTTTTGGCTTGCAATAAATATTATGGATACTTCAGAAAATTTTTAAAACCTAGGCATTATCATGTAGTTTTTATAACATTCATGTATTTAAGCATGTTAGACAGTTTTTGCTAATTAGAATGGAAATGTATGCTTGCAATGATAGGAAGTTCTAGATTTCGCATTCTCAAATGGGTACATGGAAATTTGGGATGATGGAAGAATATTAGTTTGGCTTCTTGATAAGGATGGAATGCCAAATCAAGTGATGATCTAACTTCTACTTATCACTAATAAAATGTTTACGAAATATGTCGCTATGGTTAAATTATTCTGCAAATCAATGTACTAGAGAAAATTGTTAACTCTAACGAGGTACTTTTTATGTTAGACAACAGGGTTTTCAAAATTTGTACACCGTGGAGGGAGGGGTTTCTCATTACCTCAAAACTGAAGGTCCTGTGAAATGGGTTGGGAACTTATTCACATTTGACTCTCGTCTTTCTCTTCCACCATCTAGCTATAATGACGAAACCATGATTGAAGCCAGTATGACTCCACAAGCTTTTGAGAATGATAAATTTGCTAAATGCTACATTTGTGGTTCACAAGTTTATGAGTTAAGGCATCGCAACTGTGCAAATCTCGACTGTAACCTTCTTTTCCTGTAAGTTTTGGTTTATATATACTTTTTAAATCATTTTTTGGCATAATTTCTCCCTTTTATAGAGTATTTGGCATGCATAAGTTATTAAGATGTAGTTCATGCTAGATACATATGGACCCCAAATTATAACCTCAATAAGTGATCGTGGCTGTTGTTTGTGTTTGATGGAAATACATGTGGTTGTTAGAAAAATAGCCATTAAAAATAATCCAATCTAGGATATCAACTATTTTGGTTTTAGTAGTTGGAATTAAATCTATAGACAATTGGGAATTTTTTAAAAGATCATGCATAGATGGTAGCTGATGCGTGAGTTTAGGAGCTGAAACTTCTGATCTTGATGGTGGACAAGGATGCTTAGCTCATGGGAAACTATATTTCATTTGTAGTAAGTCCTTTTTTCTTTTTGTCAATTGTTTGAACTTTCACAGTTCTACTTTTATCTTTTAGCTGTCATGCTTGAGGTTCTTTAGAACTTAGTCTAATTTGTTTGTGTACTATTTCTGATTTATCCATAGTTTATGACACTAGGAGGCCACAATGAAGGATGACCTACATTGAAAAACAAAAATATGCTAAAATGAATGATAATATCTTATAGACTTGTTGTTCAAGATGAAGAGACTGTTGTTCTTAGAAGCCTTTTTTGTCTCTCAAGTGACTTCTATATGTTGTTTGGATCCATGTAATGTTCTACAATAGAAGCTTTATGTTTATAAAGATTGCAATGTGAACTCCATAAAATAAAAGTCGTACTGGAAACGTTATATGTAGAGAATGGATGCGACTAGTTGAGTTTGGATTTTGCACTTCATGCTGGACTAAAACTTAAAGACATCTTGAGTTTAGGTTAGTTGGTATGGTTAATTTGTATTGCATCGATAGTGAAGTTTTCAAACTCCATAAGTGATGTTAGATGGTTGTCATAGGTCTATTAAATAATTAATTAGTTTGTTAATTTTCATAAGTAACCATAATACGACGTGTGTCAACTCTTTAATCTCATTTGTGGTATTTAAAGTGTATATGAAAAATTTTTTAATTAAAATTTAGGTCACATTTCTCAATTTTATGGTTGTGGTACCTTTAATTTTGATTTTACTATCTTAGGAGATAAATTAATAAAATCATATAAAAGGACATAAATAGTAAATTTATTTACTACTTTAAATTATTTTGTAGCCATATGCCTCTTTTAAGTTATTAATTATCTTTGGCACTAGCCCATAGCACTAAGTGTAAGTCAAGGTATTCTAGTCAACATCTACCATCAAATGCTCCCTTGGCAACAAGGTCTAGTCAAAGCTTGACTTTTATGTCAAACGTTGTTGTGCTATAGTACAAGGCCATGATATAGTAGTATTTAGTGCTAATTTTGCACTGATATGTGGTGGTCAATAATCAATTTTATGAGTTTTTTTATGCAGAGCATATGACTCATATCGTTGCTTTTCTATTGTGAGTAGTGGTTTCATACTAGCTACTGACTGAGAGGAGAGAGTAAATAAAAGAATGAATATAAAAACACATATTTGATATCTTACAAGAAAAACATACAATCTCCAAATCTCAGAAACTAAAATTTGCCTACTTCATTGCAAATGAGTGGTTTTATATAAGCATATATGGGATACATTTAGACAAACTAGTTACTATTTATGACCAAAAGCTTACATTACAAGTTCTAATCATACACACCTCTTAATAAAGTAGTAAAAGACAAACGAGTTTAGATTCCATGTGGTGCTTCTTTGATACTTGTTTTTTGGTGAAGCTCTTTTGTTAGGAAGATGTGACAACGTATTGGCACACTTAACCACACTAACCACACATAATTAAACATATTTTTGGTGATTAGTGATAATCACCATCGAATGAAAGATTCATATGGGAATTGTCTGTTCTTGGGAAAAATTTATATCCAATTAGGAAGATTATGCCAACCTCAGACTGTTTATAAAACACTGAGTGATCACATTTATTCTTTTTCATCTCAAACTCTTTAGCTACCTTATTGAATTTGCCAAACTAAGCATGAGGAATTTGTTTCAAGCCATATGAGGATTTGCGAAGATGATAGACTTTCCCAAACTTCCCTTGAGCAACAAACCCAGGTGGTTGCTCCATATAATCTTCCACCTAAAGGTCACCAGGTAGAAAAGCATCTTAATATTTAACTGATGTAAAGGTGAGTTATAGATAGCTACCTTAGAGATGAATAAGGGAATACATGTAAGTTTAGCTACTAGAGAGAAAATGTCAAAATAATGAATATCATAAGTTTAAGCATACCTTTTAACAGCAAGACGGGCTTTAAGACGAGCCATCGATCCATCAAGATTTACTTTTACTACAAACACCCATTTGCACCTGATAGCTTTCTTTCTTGCAAGCAAAGTTACCTAATTCCAAGTACCATTACTATTTAAGGCAACCATCTCCTCTACTATAGCAGCATGCCAGTCAGGGTGAGACAAAGATTCATGAACAATTTTATGGATGGAAATAGAATCTAAGGATGCAATAAAGGAGCTAGAATAGGACAAGTGATATGAAGAAACAAAGGATGAACTAGGATAGTACATTGACGCTTACTTTTTCGAAGAGCAATAGAAAGATGAAGACTAGGATCATGATCACTTGAGACTAGATCTGACAGCGAAGTGGTTGGTAAAGGGCTTGTGTTCTAAGTCCTTGGTTGTCTGGAATAGACATGGACAATAAGGCAGCCGAACGGGTGCAAGACTAAGTGTAGGAATATTAGGGGTATTGTCAAAATGGATTACAGTATAATCGAGCAAATCATTTTCCTCCTCCTGACTATCATAAAGAGAAGATGAGGAAAAGAAAGGAGTAATTTCAAGGAAAATGACATTTGTAAAGATAAGATAGCGGTTAAGAGTAGGAGAATAACACTTGTATCCTTTTTGAAGATGAGAGTACTCAAGAAAAACACACTTGAGAGATTTTAGATCTAGATTGGCGACTTAGGGATGAACATCACAAACAAAAAAAATACTATCAAATATCATGGGTTCAATAGGAAACAAAGACTTGGAAGGAAAAAGGACAATATAAGGAATTTCACCATTAAGAACAAAAAAAGGTATCTGATTAATCAAAAATCAAGCTGTGGAGACAACATCTATCCAAAACTATTTAGGAACTTGCATTTGAAATAAAAGTGCTCAGGCACTTCAAGGAGATGTTTATTTTTTATCTTAGCAATGCCATTTTGATAAGATGTATCAACACAAGAAGATTGATGGAAAATACCATTCTGAGTCATATAGCACTGAAACTTATCTGAAAAATATTCGTTGGCATTATCACTTTGCAATGTGTGCACAGAAACATTAATTGTGTTTTTATTTCAACACAAAAAATAGAAAATAACTTAGAATGATTTTTAAAACCAAACTTAGACACAATAGAACACGGATCTCAAACATCAGAATGAATTAATTCAAAAAGGAACTCAACTTGTTTATTGACTCTAGGGATTGAAGACAAATTGACATGACTCACAATCAAATGATGACACATTTTGAAATTGAGGACATAATTTTTTCAAGGAAGACAACAAAAAATGCCTTAATCAACAATGCACTTTAAAAAAGGTCAATATACTATAACAAACAATGGATCTCGGCACCTGTGTTAAGGATATAGAGACCTCTAAACTCATGACTTTTACGAATAGGTGAAAATACCTCAATAGTCTCTGTGCTAGTGCATGTTTTTTTTCAATTTAGTCCTACTCAAAATTACAACAATTTAGTCTCTTGATTTTGAAAATTGTTTTAATTTAGTCTTATTAATATTTTTCTTTCGAAATTACCCTTAACAGAGTTGATGTAAGCAATGATGTGTTGGCATCGCTTACTAACATGGCATGTGAGATGGGTTAGAAATACTGACGTGGGAGTGCTACATCACTCCAACATTATATATGTTGTGGCAATACCACGTGGCATTGACATGTTGACGTGGATATACCACATGGCATGTCAGGAAGGACCCTATGTCACACTCTTTTTCAGCACTTCTCAATGACATGCATGTTTAGAGGATGCCACATGGGATGACAAGAGAGCGACATGTGGTGTGCTAAGAAGGTGCCTCATATCTCTTCCTTGTTTTCTCCAAAATGATTGTGGGCATGTTATGTTTCGAACCCAAGACCTCTCGCAAGTATGATAAGCTTTTAGCCCCTTCAGTTGATTACATATTGCTTTTGTTTTTTTCTTCTTTTCGTTTCTCTTATTTTTTTCTTAGTTTTTTCCTTTTTTTTCTCTGTTTTCACCTTTTCCCTTAAGGATCGATCACTAGTCACTGTAGTCGCCATTGATCGTTGGTCGACGGTCACCAATCACTGTCATCAAATGTAAGCTATCAATCATTAGTCCTGAAGGGAGAGTCACATGGTGCCTTCCTTAACATGCCATGTGGCATATTCATGTCAGTGCCACATAGCACTATTACAATAGCATGTTGGAGTGATGTGGCATTGCCGCGTTAGTATTTCTAGCTCACTTCACGTCATGTTAGTTTATGTTGACATGAGCTCTGTAAAGGGCCATTTTGAAAGAAAAATATTAAGAGACTAAATTAAAGTAATTCTCAAAATCAAGAGACCAAATTGTTACGATTTTGAGTAGAAGGATTAAATTGAAGAAAATGCACTAGTATAGGGATTACTAAGGTATTTTGACCTCACTAATAATTCGTTTTGTTGTAAGATCCTCAAATAAACAAAAATCTAAAAAAAAATATGAGATACAACAATTCAAGGCTCGAGTGAGTTTACTAAAATAAATTGAATTAAAGAAAAACTCACATAGATGTAACATAGAAGACAAACATATTGACGAAGTTGGATTATTCCAAAACCAAGAACATAAGAGGTTGACCCATCTGTTAAAGTAACATTAGAAGAGGCTGTATGTGATTGAAAAATGGAAAAGTGATTCTAATTACTTGTCATATGATCTGAGGCACTAGAATCAATGACCTATTTGGATGATAAGGAAGCAAGACGTAGTGGATTTACCTGACTCGTCGATAGCAGTGGATTTTAACGATTCCTTGTACGGAGAGAATTGGGCAAATTCATTTCTAGAAACTAAAATAGTCTTTTTAAAAGATGAAGTGGTTGCAGTATTAACGGTTGCAACATTTGCTGACTAAACTCGTTGAGACCTATTTTGAAGCTTCGTACAATAGCGCTTTGTATGGCCCAACTCATGGCAATAATAACACACAATTCCCAGACTCCTGACTGTGGCTATTAACATATTTGTCACGATTTCTCATTTCTCTTCCTTTGTTACCACTTCTATTGTTTTGACATCTAGCCTTATTCCAACTACCATGACTTATAAGAGCACTGTTATTAGATTAAGGTGAGTGGAAGCTTTCTGTACGAAATGCTTCCGTTAAAGTGAATGCAGAAAGGAAATTTCAGAACTAGAAAGCATTTGACAATCTCAAGCTCTGGGGGAAGACCTACAAGGAAACTCATAACAACCATTCGCTCCTGTTGTGCTAGTTGAATTTGCATATCAGGACAAAAAGGTGATAAAACATTCAGTTCCTCATAAATTTTTTTAAAAGCCATAAAATAGGTTGTGAGAGACCTGTCTTGTTTGTCTGTACGACAAAACGCTTTACACGTCTTATAAATACGAGAGATATTCCCTTTAATTGAATATAAAAAACTTAAATAATTCATCAACTCTTTAATAAACTCACAGTGATTAATTAATCTAATTATCTCACCTTTAATGTAATTTCAAATTTGCAAGAATAGTTGTGCATCTTCCTCATCCAAGTTTGCCTTGTATTATCAATAGGAAGATTGTTAGTAATATGATAATCCTTATCGATACTTTTTAAATAGACCCAAATTATGTTGCTTAAATCCAAATAATTAGAGCCATTAAGCTTATGCTCTGTAACCTTCATCATCACAAAAATTACATCAGCCACTACCACTGATTTATTTTCTGTCATAAACTTGTCTTCTGCCATCTTGAAGACTTATTATAATTGTAACTAAGTACTAACGAAAGCACCACTTACTGATTAGCCTCTCCTAGAATTCGACCATCGGCATCCCTGCGAGTGGCTATCACGCACCACCTTTGTATCTTGGCTTTAATACCATGTGAGTTTTGAAGAAAAACTCTACAAGTTTCATTCATAATACAATAAATATATATGTAGACACACACGCACAAAACATAAACCCTTTAAAATAGGAAAAGAATAAAATCCTTATAATTATGCGACTTCTTAATTCCTAATTCCTATAATTACATTATTTATAAATTCACTTTCTATTCTATAACAAAGATTATGATTCTCAATTTTATTGCCCAATCACTTCCAACCATGTAGATTTCTTCCCATGACAAAATACTCTAGACATACACAAGTAACAAGTATTGGTCCATGATATTGCTTGAATAAATCAATGGAAAAAGAAAGATTTGCGGATGCAAAAGTGAAAGATTTAAAGACTGAGAGATCCATCACCACTCCATTTTCAAGAAGATACTTGCAATCAAACATGACATTTAGAAGTTTAAGTTTCACTTGACCGACTATCGCTTTATTGTTGAATCTAACATGTCAGCCTTTGATCACATACTGAACTTCACAAAGAAAATCCTTCTAAATGCACAATTGCTTCATTGGGCGCAATGGTTTTCACAATACTCATTGACCTTCAAGATATAAAAGGCAAAAACAATGTTTTTCCAAACATGCTCTTTAAGCCAACCTCTATTTCACCATAAAAACATTTCTTATCTAGAGTCCTTTTAGTAATCGCTATGGTTAGACCAACTCTTAGACCTTTTAGAGACACTCCTTTGAACCCTTAAGTAAATACCACTTATTCCCTTGATCTAAAAGATCTTTAAGAGCTTGAAGAGAATTTTTCGTTCGACAGTGATCATCACTAATAATCAAAATTATGTTTAAATTAAATGTGCTTAATGTGTTCAAGTGTTCAAGAGTGTTGTCACATCTCCCTTGACAAAATAGCTTGACTAGAAGACAAAAACATCAAAAAGAGTGCCACCTAAACAAAAAAACACCACCTAAAATCCAGCTTGTTTGTCTTTTAGTGTTTATCTTTTAGTCTATCTTTTTAGTATTTTATCAAAAGCTGTATTTGATTACAATTTGTCATGTAAGCTTTATCAAAAGTTGTGTCTTGTAAGCTTTATTAAAGCATGTCATAAAGGTTTAGGTCATGTCAAGTTACTATCATAAATAGTAATTAGTTTGTCTAGATGTGTCTCATGTCTCATATGTGTCTATACAAGACAATTCCTCCATGAAGGAGACAGATTTTAGTTTTCAAGCTTTGAAAATTATAAGTTTTTATTGTGAAATATCAAATATTTGTTTCTAAGTTTGTTCCTTTGGTTACTTTCTCCTTTTAGTCAGTAGCTAGTATTAAATCACTTCTCACAGTTAGTGATGACATGAGTCATATGCTCTACAGTTATCACTCCGATGGATTTTTTGCATTAGAAAACTCGTTGAGTTGATTACTGATCACCGCATATTACTACAAAAGTAGCGTTGAAGGTCAACACATTGTGACTTGTTACTATAGCACAACAACATTTACCATAAAAGTTAGGCATTAAATAGACCGTGGTGCCAAGAGGGTGTTCGAAGGTCAGAAGTTACTGCAATACCTTGGTCTACTCTTAGTACAACGAACTATCGGTCCATCCTTTACTCAGTTTCCAAGGCCAATCTTTGTACATGGTATCAGAGCACACAAGGGAACAAATGATCTCTCTCTTGACAACTTGGGTCAAAAACTATGAAAAGTAATTTTATCATTTACTAACTAGATTTACCATGAATTAAGGGTAGGCATAAATGGTAAATCATAATTCTAAAAGATAGAAGCGGTGTAAATAAGTTTCTTGATTGTTAGAATTTTATTGAATGTTATAAATAAAGGTTAAGGTTTAATGTTTGTGAATAATAAAATATACAGTTGTACTCATTATTAAATTAAAATGACTTTTCGTGGTATTTCATTTTTTTATTTGTTCACTTTTAGTTAAATATGAAAGCATTATTTTAATTCTCATATTTTCTACCAAAATAGGCCTTAATTGGTTATTATTTTGCTAGGCTAATAAAAAATTACATATGGGCGGCTGTGGGATATCATGAAAATGAAATTATTACAAATTCAAAATCAAATTACTCCATTGGTTTAACCTATTTTTTACAACTAAGCTATTTGTGACGTGGCTATGTAATTATTGTCATGGCGTATAAAACAATATCTCAATAAACTTAATTGGTTGAATCTAATATGAATGTTGATCATTATTTGTTAGACAATTTTTAATATATATTACTCATTTTGTCTAGTATAATATCTTGGCTTGACTTCTTACTATCAAAGTTTTTCAAGTTTGACGCGTATTATTTTAAATATTTTATAGAATTAAATTTTATTAAGTATATATTTGAAAACTACATCAGTCAAAATTTCTAATGACTAATTTTTAAAATGTACTAAATGATAATTTGAAAGTAACTTGCAATTAAATTTGAAAAAAATTAATTAAAGTCAAATCAGGACATTATATATAGGATAAAGGAAGTAGCACAAATTTATTTTTATTAAAAATTTCTTAATAAATTCACTCAAGTCTTAGTTATTTATTTCAATTGCTTATTCTAATACTTCATACAATTATAGTTGGATATTATTGTATTAATCAAAGATCTCAACCTATAAAAACATAGATGAGGTTAGCGCTAAATGAAAACTTTTAAAACAAAAATTATGTTTTTCTTTTTTTAATCACAATGCTCTTGTTTGGGTTGCTTTTTTTTTCTTTTTGGATAATATTCAAATTGGCTTAAGTTAGGATTTGAACGGGTTGAGTGAATCTTTCAAGTTCCTATTAATTTTGTCAGGTTCAATTATATTGTATGTTCGACTAACTGTTTAATAGCTTTCTCATGCTTCTCCCATCACATCCTCCTCAGAACTCTAGGTGTCCGTAATGGTTGCTCCTTTTCATCTTTTATTTCAATTGAGGTTATTGTTGCTTTGTTTTTTCTTAACTTTTTCTGGTTGATGTTTAGTTGGTTGTTAAACTGGACTTTTACATTCTTAAGCCTCTCTTTGGAATTTGATTTGCTCTCTTAATTTCCTTTTGACTTTGGAATAAGCAGATGATGGTTAGGTTGTGGATGAATGTAGAACCTCAGCTTCTAGGATTATGCTAATGATTCTTGTCAGAAAATTGATTGTATTTACCTCTACTCTCCAGATGCTGTGCAAATTGTTTGATGGATTTGAGAGGATGTTGCTGTTATAATTGCACGACTGCCCCTCGTCGCAGACCTGTTTTACCTGGGTTTCAAAGATACAAAAGGTGGCATGTGTATCGAGATCTAGAAGTTCGATTGCAAGTTTGATGAAAAATTCATGACTTGGACGTTTGAGGTGCCCATTCATTGTGCATGAATATGTTTGTGCTTTTTCCCAAGATTATGTTACTGATAAAACAAGCATGATTCAAGTTGTAGCAGTTAATCTCCAGTGCTAACTGTAGATAATTGAAGCAACGTGTATGATATAGTTTTTGTAACATTTGGTTTCATTACATGGAGGAGAAATGCCTTGTTGAAAACTGAAATGCATAGCCTGATTGAAGGGAGGCTAAGTTGAGATCTAGCTTCATGCTTTTATCATGGGAAGAGAAGGTATCGTTTAGATATTCTTAAATTATTTAAATATAAAAAATATGTTGTTATATATATAAAAAAATGCATGATTTTATTTTTCTCTAAAATAATTATTTATATGTCTTAAATAAATTAATTTTTTTTGGTGTGTTTAGATTTTTTGTTTTATAATAATTTTTGTTTCAAAAAGTAAGTGCAGAGTGAGGGGTAGAAATATAAATCCTAGGGAATCTAAATTGTACAAAAGAATATAAGAAATTTGAATAGTTTATTGGTGAATTCCATAGTAAGGTTAACTTTACTATAAGGTCAATTAAAATAATTAATTCATAAACTTATCAATTTCATATTAACAACATAGATAATTCTTGTTTTGTTTTTATAATTCTTTATATTAATTTTTACTCTTATATGTTAAGGTTTTTCAATTGTTAATTTTCATAAAGTATTTTTCGCTTATAAAAGAAAAAATAAGAGAGTTGAGAGGCATGGAGGAGCTGCAGCTATGGGCAATAGGTAGTCAAGGTTTCAGGGCACAAAAAATGCATGGACTAGTATAAATCAATGTGTTATCAATTTGGTGAGGTGGTGGAATTCCAATCTCACTTACGCTTTGGTATGATGTTGCTTTGAGAAAAAGTAAGATTTAGCAATCTGGTTCGGTGATGGAATGGTGTTATCTAGACAAAAAATAGTAGTGAGGAAAGCTTTTGAGGTTGGTTAACCTAAGTGACTTCCATCTATTGTTTGTGATAAGCCTACAAACCCTCTTACGACCTTATTGAAAGATGCTTTGGATGGCTCTCAGAAGATGGGATATCCACCTAATAACGAGGCAAATTAACCTAAAGCTAATCAAGCTAATTTGAGATCTTTTAGGGAGGTGGTGACAAAAGAGTAGGATGTTCCAAGTGTGAAAGCAACAGATGCTCAGCAATAATTGTTGTAGGCGTCGGAAATTGAGGACCATTGGCTGTTGGAGAAATAATTGTTGAAGAAAGGCATGATTGGTCCAAATCACAAGACATGTTTGGATGGGAGTTGCAATTTTCTTTTTCTAATCCATTAGTTTAGTTAAATTCAAATTCAAGTTTTGTTAGAAGTGTTAGCTCTATAATAAGATGAGAAAATATCCAAGGGGATGTGAATTGAACTTATAAAAACTCTTTTCAACAAATTAAACTTTTAACGAAGGCAAGCTTGAAGACAAGTTTCTTAAATTTGTGTTTTACTTTAAAACATGCCAAAAGTAATTCAATGAGTAAATTAATGAACAAATGAGTTGAAAACAAATTTTCAAGCTTGTCAAAGTAAAATGCACAAGTGTAGCAAAATGTATCAAAAATAATTTGAAGAGTAAATTCAAGGATTGAAAAATTAAAACAAAGTAAAGAGAAAAGGCAAAGAATTTATAGAGCTTTAGCCTTTTCTATAGGTGGCTGCATTCTCTCCCTTAGCAAGCTAAGGAGTTTCAAATCCACTATGAAAAATTCATTTTAAGGCTCAAGCATAACCTTTACAATGCCTTTCAAGGATTTCCCAATACAATACCCTTTATAGATCAAGCACAACTCTCTTAACTTCTATGCCTTTCAAGGATGTGGCACAACCTTACAACATTACCATTTAGAGGCTAAGGTATAACTGTTTCTCTCTTACAATTTTGAATAGCAAAGATACCTTTACAAGGTTTTGCCAAGTAAGCACAATAAAGATAAAGTATGATAAATAAAAATATACATACAAACAATAAGAGTGGTAGCATAAAGAATTTGAAGCTTAAGTATATCGTAAAAGGTAAGTGGAAGACTGTGAATTGCTTACTTTAGCTTGGTTTTCTTTCTTTCTTCTCTTTTTCTTCATAGAATTTGATATTTTTCTCCACTCTTCTAACCTTGCAAATGTATTAGAGAAGTCCTTTTTATAGTTGGAGAAGTTTTAGTGAAGAAAATAGCCATTTTTCCTTCAATTTTCATGTGTAACAACTTGTTTTGGACCAAATGTATCAATACATTTTGGAAATGTATCCATTCATTTTGGAAAATATCCATACGTATTAGATAGAACCATTCTATTGAAAATATATCAATACTTTTGACAAATGTATTAATACTTGTAGCTTAAAATATAGAAAGTTCTTCTTTCTAAACCCAATTTGATACCAAATACTTGGACATTTCAAAATCAAATGCTCTAATTTAAACAAGTTTAAAAACTATCCAAATGAGTTCAAAAATCATTGAAGCAATTTCAAAACTCATTTAGTAATTTTGAAACTTTTCACATGGAAACATGTAAGTACTTCAAAACTTATTTAAAAAAGTTTACAAACTATTCAAACAAGTTTAAAATCTCATTCAAACAACTTCAAAAATTATTCAAACAAGTTCAAAGATAATTCAAGTAGTTTTGACCATTTTTCACATGGAAACACTTAAGCATTTCAAAAGCAAATGTATGGAATTTTTTAACATTAATAAAATAAGTTCAAGAACATATTCAAACAATTTTGAAAATCATTCAAACAAGTTCAAGAATCACTCAAACAAATTCAAGGATCATTGAATCAATTTTGATCATTTTAGTCATTTCAAAACTATAATCATTTGGAAGCTAATAAAGCTAACAAGTTGGAATCTAGTTAGTGAGAAAAATATGGAGAGTACTATAGGGGTAAAACAAAAGGTGGATTAGGTAGTTATTGAAAGAAAAGATACCCATAATACAATTCCCTTGAAAAATATTTTTTCCAGATTGGTCATTGATTTGGAGAAACATGAATTTGTTAAATTCAATTCAAAAAAATTAAATCAAGGTGCTGATAAGGGGAGCTTGATTGTCAGAATTATAGTGATGATGTCTTGCTTTAGACATAATGCAAGAAATGTTTTATTAATGTTATGAAAAATCAAGCGTTTGGTGATTTTAATGTTGTTGATTTAACGTTCCATGAGAAGCCAGAATTAATTGATTCTCATCTTACGAGAGAGAATGTTTTGGTTAGGACACTTTTAAATAAAGACAACATTATTCACAAGAATCTTGGAATAAATATTGAGGTCTGACAACTCTATGATATAGAGTTATTTGCACTAAATTTTGATAGTAATTTAGCTTAGTTCTTATAAGTAATACATAAAAATTAATAAGTTTCATTTAATTATTTTAAATTAGTTATTTTAGATGAGTCAATCTAATCATGGTTAATTTTATGCTTAATTTGGTGTTAATATGGTTAAGATAGGTTGTTATTGATTTATTTGTGCTTTTGTAGGTGTTTGAAAAAAGAATTTTAGTAAAAGAATGAGAGCAATTTTAAGGTGTAGACTTTTACTGCACATGTTTCGGTATTTTGGCCATAACTTTCTTTACAGAGCTCCAAATGAAGCATTCTTGGACCATTGGAAAGATGAGAGGAACAATCTACAACTTTTATGTTTACCACTTTACCTAGTTTGGCCTGGAAGGTAGTCAAAAATTTTGTCGAACTTGACACACTGTAACAATCCTAGAGCAATTACGATTTCTGTTAATTAATTTGACAAGGTTGCGACTTGCATGGTTTAGTGAGGAAATTCTGGTTGACATTGACTTCTTTCTCCACCCAACTTAGTCTAACTTCAAAGCTTGTAAAAATAAGCTTTTAGATTAATAGCTGAGAGTCAAGCCACAGAGTCATTAAGACTAAGAAAAATTTGAAGGATTCAAGGAGATTTGGAGATGAAGAATACAACTCTTGAATTTTTCTATCTTTTCTTTTATTCTCTTCTTTTCTTGGTTTTGTTCTTATTGTTTAAACTTTATTCAATGATGATATGTGACTAGATAGGGAACTGAATTTTTAATCTAAGATTACGATTAAACTCATTATGAAGTTTGAATTATTGGCCTTTTTTTTACTTATGTTTGATAGATTTAGGTTGTTTATTTTATTCTATTCTTAATGCTTTTAATTGCCTAATCACTAATTAGATTGAACTGGAAACTTAGGTTAAACCTTGACGAAGGAGATTTAGTAGACCTTGAATAAAATAGCGTATGATCAAATACACTTAGTTGATTAGGTGATTTCATTTGTATATAGGATAGACATACATCTATAAGCCATACGTACCCAAAATTAGAGCACAAACATGATGAATGTTTCTACAATATAATTTGCATAGACATATAGTAAATTAATTGGGAGAGGTGTTTTTATAAGAAACTCGATAGAGACATGTAAATAATTTAAGACCCTAGGTTAGCAACTTAATCCATTAAACTAACTTAAGAATAGATAGACAAGATTCAGATAAAATATTGAGGGATATCATAATCTTTGGTCTGGTAGTCATTTACATTTAATAAAGTAAATTCGCATAGATTTTAGATTAGTTTTAGTTTTAGTTATTAGGTTATTACTTTCAAATCCTTCTTTTCAATTTTAATTGTTTAGATAAAATTAAGGTATGTTAATTTTAGTAGTATACAATAAGGATTAATTTAATTCTCTGTGGGACTGACACTCTACTTATCTTTATATTATCTTTGCGATACGTACACTTGAGTGAGTAGAAAATTGAACAACAAGTTTATGGCACCGTTGTGGGGGACGTGATTTTTAATTCTTTCTTGTTAATATTAATACCAAGCATTCTTAATTTTAATCTAGACTTTTCTTTTGTTTGATTTTTTTCTTTAATTTTTCAAGTACTTTTGGCTGTTGTATGTGAAGAGCTTGAAATTTGAAAATTGTTCCTTTTGATCCAAAAATCAAAAAAACTTTTCGTAGACTTTGGAAGAACAATAAAAAAGTTTCAGCTCTAAGGAAAACAATGGCTAATCAACAAGAGGAAGAGACCAAGCCTTTGAGGGATTATGTAGTCCCATAAGTACAAAATCTCCACTTTAGTAACCAAAGGCCTTCTATTCTTGCCAACAATTTTGAAATTAAGCCATCAATCATTCAGATGATTTAGACTGTTTTTCAGTTTGGGGGTTTGCCTAATGATGATCCGAATGCTCATATTATAAATATCCTAAAAATCTGTGATACTTTCATCGCTAATGGTGTTGCTGATGATGCCATAAGATTGAGGCTTTTCCCTTTTTCATTGAGAGATAAAGCAAAAAATTGGTTAAATTCGCTTCCTGCTGGTTCCATTAATACTTGGGATAATTTGGCTAAAAAATACTTAGCAAAATTTTTCCCACTTACAAAGTTAGCAAAGATGCGAAATGATATCGCTTCTTTCATGCAATTTGATTCTGAATCACTATATGAGGCTTGGGAAAGGTATAAGGATTTGATGAGAAGATGTCCTCACCATGGATTACCTAAGTGGCTACAAGTTCAGACTTTTTATAATGGTTTGTTGGGACATTTTAGAACTACCATTGATGCTGCCGCTGAAGGTGCACTTATGAGCAAATCCATTGATGAGGCTTATGATTTACTTGAAGAGATAGCTTTTAATAATTATCAACGGCCATTTGAAAGATTGGGTACAAGAAAAATTGCTGGAATTCATGAATTAGATGTGAAAAACAATGTCTCTACACAATTGGCTTCTCTCGTAAAGAGAATAGATAAACTGAGTGTTAATGATGTTCATAACTCCTTTATGAAATGTGAATTTTGTGGGGAAGGACATTCCAATGACAATTGTCCCATCTATTCTGAGTCTTGTCAATTTGTTGGAAATAGGCAACAGAACAATCCCTATTCCAACATTGATAATCCTGGTTGGAGGAATCATCCTAATTTTTCATGGAATAACAACCAAGAGTCTTCATCAGCGACTAAGTCTAACTTTCCTCCTTGATTTCCATCTAGAGCCCTTATGCCAGAGAAAAAGCCTTCAACGAAGGATATGTTCATGTAGTTCATGACAAAGACTAATGTATTCATAATAAAGACTAATGCATTTATGATAAAGACTGATGCCACCATTCAAAATCAAGCAGTTTCAATTAGAAATCTTGAGATACAAATAGGCCAACTTGTCAGTGCTTTAAATACTAGACCTCATGGTACCGTACCCAGTGATACTGAACCCAATCCAAGAAGAGAAGGTAAGGAGCATTGTATGGCAATCACTCTTTGCAATGGAAAAGAGATATGTGAAAAGGTAAGTAATCAAGCTTTAAATTCTGAGATTTCAATTCCATCTACTGAAAATGAAATTGAAAAGAATGCTGAAAAAGAAATTATGATTGAAAAATCTGTTGAAAATTCAAAAGAAAAATTCACAATCTGTACCCATACCTCCACCTTTTCCTCAGCTCATTCAAAAGCAAAAACTTGATAAACAATTCTAGAGATTTCTTGAGGTATTTAAAAAATTACACATTAATATTCCTTTTCCTGAAGCTTTTGAACAAATGCCAAATTATCTTAAATTCTTGAAAGACATCTTAACCCAAAAGAGAAAATTGGAAGAGTTTGAGACAGTTGCATTTATTGAAGAGTGTAGTGCTATAATCCAGAATAAGCTTCCACTAAAGCTTAAAGATCCAGGGAGTTTTTCTATTCCTTGCACTATTGATAGTTTTAAAATTTTTAAAGTTTTATGTGATTTAAGTGCTATTGTTTCAATAATGCCTTCATCTATTGCCAGAAAACTTGAATTTAAAGAGATATAACCTACTACAGTTACCTTGCAATTAACAGACAAAACAATCAAGCATCCAGTTGGGATTATAGAGGATGTTTTACTTAAAGTTGGGCATTTATACATTCTGGTAGACTTCATTGTGCTCGAGATTGAAGATGATGTTGAAATTTCTCTTATTTTGGAAAGAACATTCTTAGCTATAACTGGAGCAATTATTGATGTGAATAATGGCAAAATAACTTTTAGAGTTGGAGAGGAGGAAATGGTATTTAATTTGTTCAATGTAACTCAATATCCCTATACAGATAGTTGCTATAAAGTGGATTTAGTCAATTAGGGTAAAGGTAAGCCTATTCCACCAACTTCAACAACATAGGCATGAACTTTTGAGACAAAACCACTACCACTTTTCAGCTATCTTGATTTTGTGGTTGGACAGTGAGTTGTATTGTCTGATTCACAACTCCATCTTTTGCCATCGAATCTTAGATCATATTGGGGGAACAAGTTTAAGGTAGTAAAGATTAATCCTTATGATGTTATCGAGATTTATAATGGACTTACCGAAGTAGTTAAGGTCAATAAAGAAAATCTTGAGCCGCATAAAATAATGCAGAGGGGGGTACCATAGTCAAGGTAATGACTATAAAATTCAAAAAAAAAATTAGGGGAGGGGGTAAGCTGCTGCGCCACAAAAAGGGAGGTCATGGCCTAACGAAGTCCCCCGACAAGGGCCACAGCGCCCACAAAGGTGAGGCCGCAACCATGAGTTATGAGTTAAAAAAAATTGTAAAAAATAAAAAAAGAAAAAAGCCTATCACCCCCACTTAAAACTTTGCCAGCCCATTAGCCAATAAAACTTTTCTTTTCTATGCAATTATTTTAATTTAACTTTATTTATTTTTTTTGTAGAAAAAAAATTTCGTCCTAAAATGGGAGAATGAGGATGATAACAATAAGGAGGAGGATAAAAGCTTCTAAAAAATTTGTCCAATCATCAGGGGAGTATTTGTTACCTTTCCTTTATTTTTCTAACATTGAGGACAATGTTTAGTTTAAGTTTGGGGAGAATTTATTTTCTAGTGGTGAATGTTTTGTGGAAGTTTTAGATTTAATTTTATTTGTATGTATATCTAGATTTATAAATAATTTGGGATTAGTTGGTAAAAGAATTTATTTCTTGTTTGAATTTTAGGAATCTAAAAGTAAAGTTGTGCCAATTTTTTCAATGATTTTCTTTATCCAATGATAATATCTGGTTGTCTTAAATTCTTATCTTTTAGTTAATAAGGTTTTTGTTTGGATTCATGCTAAATTCTTTGATTAAGTATCATTGTGAGGATGTGATTTCCACAATTTGGAGCACTATGTCTTTTACTTTGAATTATTTTGAATATCTAGAGAAGATTTATAATGATGTGAATTTTAGATTATGTCATGAATTCTAAATTTTGCTTGATTTTTACTCGAGGCGAAATCCTAGGTAATACTTAGTTAAGGAGATGATTTAGGTCATTTTTAGACCGATTGAGCCTAAGAAGCCAACCTTGTTAAATTTTTATCCCTAGTATACCCTGTTTGAGCTTAATTTCCCTTTTCTTTGTTTAAACTACATAATATTGAGCTTAACCTTAAAATTAATTTTCCAATTTTGAAACCCTCACTCCTAAGCATGTATATTGTTTTAGGAAATATAAATTGAGCTAAATGTTAAAGGTGGATAGGTGACTTTGATGTAAAAAAAAAAGAGTTCAAAATATGAAAAATAATCCTAGTTCCTACAATATAAAGAAAATAAGTTTGGGGCTATGAAATTGTGAAAAAAAAATGTGTTGAATAAAAGAAATGTTCAAATGTGGAAGCAAAAGTATACTTGGAGAAGGAGAATAGAGCTCTACATATAGGTCTTAGAATAATTATGTGCTTAGGGTAATTTGAGCCACATTAATATCCTTTATCATACCTTGACCCTAGCCATACATTACAAGGTTTATAAAGTCTTATTGATCCCAAGTTTTGTATTAATCTACATTAGTGGAGAGAGAAATGAAAAGTAAACTTGTGAAATCTAGTATTAATTTGAAATTTGTGTTGGCATAAACTCATTTGAATGCGATGATATTCTTGGTAAAAATATCACACACACACACACAAAAATCCATTCTAGAATGTGCTTGCATTAGAATTGAAACATGAATTTAAATAATGCTAGTATTTTTCCTTAAGTTAATGATTGATAAACATACTTTTGAGGAAATTATAGAGAATCATTGAGTTGGTGTACTTTATCTCTAGAAGTAGTAGTAATAGTGGTAGTAGTAGTAGTAGTAGTAGTAGTAGTAACTATATTTATTTTAGTTATCTTTAACTGAATTTGATTTTCGTAAGTTAGGTTCTTTTCTATGTTTTGCTCATGACTAGCAAAATAATAAGTTTGGGGATGTGATAACTCTACTATATAGAGTTATTTGAACTTAATTTTGATAGTAATTTAGCTTAGTTCTTGTAGTAATGCATAAAAATTAATAAGTTTTATTTAATTATTTTAAATTAGTTATTTTAGGTGAGTCAATCTAATCATCGTTAATTTTATGCTTAATTTAGTGTTAATATGTTAAGATAGGCTATTACTGATTAATTTGTGCTTTTGTAGGTGTTTGAAAGAAGAATTTTAGCAAAAGAAGGAGTGCAATTTCAAGGTGTAGACTTCCACTCAACATGTTTCGATATTTTGGCCATAACTTTCTCTACAGAGTTCCAAATGAAGCCATTCTTGAACCACTGGAAATATAAGAGAAAAATATATGACTTTTATTTACCACTTCACCTAGTTAGGCCTGGAAGATGGTCAAAAATCTTGTCGAAGTTGACACACTGTAACAGCTCTAGAGTAATTACGATTTCTATTAATTAATTGGACAAGGTTGCGACTGCATGGTTTGGTGAGGAAATTCTAGCTGGCATTGACTTCTTCCTCCACCCAACTTGGCCTGACCCTAAAGCCTATAAAAATAACCTTCTAGAGAGGAAAAAAGAGAAAAAAAAGAAAAAACATCAGATTAACAGCTAAGAGTCAAGTCACAGAGTCATTGAAGCTAAAAAAAATTTGAAGGATTCTAGAAGATTTGGAGATCAAGAATACAACTCTTGAATTTTTCTATCTTTTCTTTTATTCTCTTATTTTCTTGGTTTTGTTCTTATTGTTTAAACTTTATTCAATGATGATGTGTGACTTGATGGGGAATTGAATTTTTAATCTAAGAGTATTATTAAACTCATTATGTAGTCTAAATTATTTATCTTTTTGTTACTTATGTTTGATAGATTTAGGTTGTTTATTTTATTCTATTCTTAATGCTTCTAATTACCTTATCACTAATTAGATTGAATTGAAAATCTAGATTAAACCTTGATGAAAGAGATTTAGGTAGACCTTGAATAAAAGTGTATGATCAAATACACTTAGTTGATAGGTGATTTGATTTGCATATAGGATAGACATACAACTATAAGCCATACGTACCCAAAATTATAGCACAAACTTAATGAATCTTTTTACAATATAATTTGCATAGATATATAGTAAATTAATTGAGAGAGGTATTTTTATAAGAAACTAGATAGAGACTTGTAAATAATTTAAGACTCTTGGTTAGCAACTTAATCCATTAAACTAAATTAAGAAGAGAGAGACAAGATTCAAATGAAATATTGAGGGATATCATAGTCTTAGATCTGGTAGTCATTCACATTTAATAAAGTAAATTTGTATAGATTTTAGATTAGTTTTAGTTTTAGTTATTAGTTTATTAGTTTCAAATCTTTCTTTTTCAATTTTAATTGTTTAAATAAAATTAAGGTATGTTAATTTTAGTAGTTAAAAATAAGGATTAATTCAATTCTCTATGAGATCGACACTTTACTCATCTCTATATATCATCTCTATATCATCTCTATATGATAAATACACATTTTATTAATTATCTTATAAAATGAGAGAGAGAAAGTTAATTTTTTTTTACAGGTAAGCATGGAGGAGATGGAATGGCAGCAAAGAATGGCCAACATGGGTTTTAGGGCACTAGATTAGGAATTTTTTGATTTGTTTAGATGGAGAAGGTCTTTGTGTATAGCTTTTGTTGGGAATATTTTTGGGGGTACATCATGGACGCCAAAAAAGCAAAGCATTTGACCGGTTCAGAGTTGTT